CTCCAGCCCAAATCCTTATCTGGGGTCTGGGGGATGATCCTGGTCCTGCTCCAGCCCAGATCCACATCCAGGGGCTGAGGGATGCTCCCAGTCCTGCTCCAACCCAGACCCTTATCCAGAGGCTATGGGATGTTCCTGGTCCTGCTCCAGCCCAGATCTTTATCGTGAGGCTGAGGGATGCTCATGGTCCAGCTCCAACCCAGACTTCTTATCCAGAGGCTGAGGGATGTTCCTGGTCCTGCTCCAACCCAAATCCTTATCCTGAGGCTGGGGGATGCTCCTGGCCCCCTTCCAGCTTGGACCCTTCTTTGGAAGCTGGAGGATGCTCCCAACCTTTTGCCAGCCCAGACCCTTTTCCCGAGGCTGGGAGATGTTCCTGGTCCTGCTCCAACCCAGAGCCTTATCCAGAGTCATGGGAATGCTCCTGGTCCTGCTCCAACCTAGCCCCTTATCCAGTGCCCGGGTGATGCTCCTGGGTGTTTTTTCCCAGTTTTTCTCAGTTTTGGCTGACTGGGAGACCTGGGGGGTGGCTCCCAAGGGGAGCTGTCACCAAGCCTGACCCCACAGGCCTCCTCCATATCCCTTATTCCTTCCTCTCTTCCAGTCCTCGGAAAACAGCCCCCTGGGGAACTTCCTGAAGGGATTCATCGACGTCCCGTCCTGCCACGTCGGTGAGTTCCCGTCTCCCTGATTTGGGGGGGAATTCTGAGGATTTGGGACTGATTTGTGAGGAATTCGGAGGAGTTGGAACTGATTTCAGGGGAGTTCTGATGTTGGGATTGATTTGGGGGGACTTCTGAGGAGCTGGGACTGATTTGTGAGGAATTCTGAAGAGCTGGAAATGATTTCAGGGGAATTCGGAGATTGGGACTTATTTGGGGGAATTCAGCGGTTGGGATTGATCTGGGGGGAATTCCAAGGTTGGAGCCGATTTGGGGGAGAATTCCGAGGAGTTGGGACATCCAGACGATCCAGGGGACATTTCCCCCTGGCTCCGAGCGCGTTTCAGCGCGGAAAACCAAATCCACACGTTAAAAAAACTCGGGATCCTCGCCATGGGAGTGCCAGGAGGGGCTGGTGGGACTGCTGAGGTTTCGTTTGCCCCCCAGAGCCATCCCTTGGGAATGCCTCCGAGTAAAGCCCCCCCTCTGGTGTCCTTGTAGTGATCTCCAAAGACGGGAGGAGCTCCAAACCATTTGTCTTCACCATCCATTCCCAGCAGATGTCCCACGCCGCCCAATCCCTGGACGTGGCCGCGGACACGCAGGAGGAGCTCAGCGAGTGGGTGGCCAAGATCCGGGAGGCCACGCAGAACGCGGACGCCCGGGTGAGGATGGGAA